AGGCGTGTTTGACTCCAAAGCACTTGTTTTGGGTACTTGCTAAACTACTTCTTGGCTAAACACTATTTCCCTGTAATAAAGAGAAAGAGAGGAAAATGAAAACACAGGTGTTCATAGAATTTGATTATTGAGCTTAATATCTTTGAATTGATCTCTTCGTTTGGACACTTGGAAAAGTATTTTTTAACATTTCATCTTTCTTAAATCGTGTGCTGCTTGATTAAAAATGATAATCTAATTATATGATTAATCACAATTTTAGCTTCCATAAAACTTTTTACTGAGAAGCTCAAAATACTTAATGAGCATTTATGAAGGTTAATTTAACCCCTTTGAAGTATAGATGCATCATCATTATATGTGGGGAAGTGAGGAAACTGAGGCAGGGAGGGGCTAAATACCTTTTCACAACTCTTACTAACTAAGTTAACATCCCAAATCCTGAAGAGGTGTTGTAACACCAAATGTTGCTTTCATTTTGTTGTTCCTTCACATAAATGAATCAAGTAGCCACAACATAAAACACCAGAAAGCATGTGTGTTTTACTCTTGAACAGTCTCTCAACCTTAGTTGAATTATCTGCATTTGGAGGCAGATGGTACTTTCCCATAGGGGAGCATCCTGTGCAGGGTAGGCGTTCATCAGCATCCCAGCTTCTATCCACAGAATGCTGGTACCACCCTCTTCCCAGCTGTGACATGAAGGCTTTCTGCGTACAGCCCCAAATGTTGAGAACTACACACATGCCTAAGAAAATAGCATGCATGTGTGTTATGATTTCTGATAGAATGTTCTTTTATCAATGCCATCTTTCTCTCTACTCTAATAAAGTCTAACAATAGACAGAGAATCCAGAGTAAATTAGGCCTAGAGAGAACATATGGGCATCATCTAGCTTAGCATTTTTTTTCCAGTTCTGTGAAAGATGATATTAGTAGGGGTGGGGAGGAAAACATGTCCAGTGATCAACTTATCTTGGGAAACAGTGTGCTAAACAAGATTTCTTTGTTTAATTAGCAAATATTTGTTCAGTACTTACTATGTCCTAGACACTATGTCCATAGACACTTTATGGGAGACTTGGGATACATCAATGAACCGAAGACCCGTGTTTCCTAATCTAAGTCAGGTGGCATGTCATACGTGATCTCCACATTGGAGAATGAAAAGGTCCGTCACCGTAATGGGGATTGCAGGGGCCAGGCTTTAGGTAGGAGGTTGCAATTTTAAGTTGAGTGTTTATTTTATTTATCTATTTATTTTGTATTTGATAGAGTTACAGACAGACAGAAAGGTCTTCCCTCCATTGGTTCACCCCCCAAATGGCTGCCACAGCTGGCGCTGCACTGATCCGAAGCCAGGAGCCAGGTGCTTCCTCCTGGTCTCCCATGCGGGTGCAGGGGCCCAAGAACTTGAACCATCCTCCACTGACTTCCCGGGCCACAACAGAGAGCTGGACTGGAAGAGGAGCAACCAGGACTAGAACCTGGTGCTGCCAGCGCCGCAGGCGGAGGATTAACCAAGTGATCCACAGCGCTGGCCCCAAGTTGGGTGTTTAAATAGCTTTCCTTTGGCTTGACTGCTTAGAACTAGTGCATGCCAGAGGAACTAGAAGCCTCACAGCAGCTAATCCAGTTGTATTTCCAATAATCCATGCTGTTTCTCTCATTCACATTAGTGGTGGTTGAAGACCATGATGTAGCTTTAATATTGAACCAGCTTTTCTATGGTGATGAAAGCCCCAAAACCCTATGGAGGTAGTTCTGAACTGGGATGACCTTCCTCCCAGGGTCATTTGACAGTGTCTAGGTTGTTCAGACTAGAGGGAAAGAAGTGCTGCTCTGTGTAATGGGTATAGGTCAGGGTTGCTGCCAGATAGCTTTTACACACAAGGCAGCCCCCACCACAAAGGATCACTTGTTCCAAAATGTCCACAGCACTGAGGGTGAGAAACCCTGACCTGGCTTAAGGAGTTTTCACCTCCTTTGAACTGACCAGAAATGATTGCCATATGGGTTTCACATAAAGTGTGTCTGTAAACTTCATTTCTGAGCACATAATGAATTTTACTCATTGGTAATAGGAGAATGGAGGGATCATGAAAATGTGAAGACATGAACCAACACGTATCTACATGACACCTCACACGTCCAGAACTTTCCAAGTTTCTCTCATGGGCTCCTGCGTTTGTATATTAACATAATGCTAAGCATATAGCTGCTTGACTTCTTGCAGGGAGAATTCCCAAGTGATTGCCCACATCTCTTATTTTTCTCACAGGTGTTTATGTAGAGTTTAAATAATCACAGTGTCAGCATAGAAAGGTCTTCTCAAATACGGGGCTGAAAAAAAAAATCACATTCAAACATATGTTGCCCATATCCTGTAAGTATGCAGGAACTTTGCTATTTAAATATTTTTCTGGAAAATACATAACTGGCTTAAATTTCATGGTTTCTCAATTGTTCTTCATTACTTGCAGTGAGTAGACTTAAGAAAACGCAATAAAATGTTGTGTAATGACAATCTTAACCCATAAACATTATGTAGCTTTCTAATGGTGCTTCAGAGAAATGCATGCGCATTCCCAAACACTGAGCCCTTTATACTTGGAAGCTGCATAGTCCTATGAATTGTTGCCTTTTGGATCTAGGTCAGCAACCAACTTACATTTAGTTTTAGGCACTGAGATCACCCAGATCTGCAGAGTGACATTGGTGGATTCTTGGGTGTCGTGGTTAGCAGCACAATGGGTAGATTCTCAGAGCTACACGTTGATATTCACGTGAACCTTACCAAGACCCAAATTTATTTGTTTTACCTCCCTACTCTTCCCTTCCCTTTTCATCTTTCTGTTTTTTCCCCTACCCCATCTCACTGATTTTTTTCCCCTCTTCTCATTTATCTGGATTCTTTAGGAATTCTTAGCAACATGTTCTTTCTGTTAGAATTTATGATATCCTCCTTGCTTGCTATCTTATACTAATTCTTTAAGTCTTTATTTCTGTATTTCTTGATTCTGTCTCATGCCAGATTTGAATTCAATTGAATCAAAAACTCATGAGGAGCCCAGTATATTTTAATATAAGGATTCTGGTTTAATGCCAAAAACATTATAAAGTCCAACATGCAGTAACAGTAAGTTTCATATCTAATGATTGAATAAGTACATTTCTATAGAGGTATGAACCTCTGATAATTTCACACTTCTGCCCTCTCTCTCCTCCAGGCTCTCAAGCCTTAGGTATGAACCAGAGCAATTGCAGTCATTTTGCTAGAGAACTTCCTAGGCAGGGTGTGAGTACGACCTGTGACCAGAGCAAGGTCACCAAGCAGCTGGGAATAAACTTGCTCTCAATTTGAATTGCCCCAGGAAAGGCTGGAGAGCCTGTGAAATTTGTGAACTCAAGTTCCACACAGTAGGCCACAGAATTTCTAGTTCCATAAAAAAATTTTAAAAATTGAGAGGGAAAGGTATGAATCTGTGAATCTGGGAGTTTTAGAAGTACAGTAAGGTAACTACGGAGTGTTTCATGAAGCCAGAATAACAGGAAATAAGAAAGCAAAAGCTCTGGGGATGTGATCCACAGCCATGGTGAAGGCTGCCATGTCCTGTATGCTGCTATATTGCAAGGTCCCTGGTGGTGAAAACAGTAGGGACATGCCTAGAAATGTTTAGGTGAGACATTCCAGTACTCGCCCCTCAAAAAGGGTGAAGGTGAGAGGGGATTTCATGTTGCTCTACTTGAGATCAAACAAGAATCGTGAGGGCCTTCAGTTGGGAAGAGCAGTGGTAGAGGCAGAATGGGAGACTTGGCGTCATCAGATTCATGCTTGAATTTCGTCTCTGCCACCTGTTAGCTTTACCAGAGCTTTTTGCCTTTGAGCAAGCTACTTACCTTCTCTGAAGCTGGATTTTCTTTTCTTTTTTGAAAAAATAAAAGTTCTCTAGATGATGAATATTAAAGATGACAATTTCCATCAGATGTTAGACTCAGTAAATACATCATAGAAAAAGAATACTCTTGATTTATCAGATTTATTCAGCTGTATGCAGTCAGCCCTCCACATCCATGGGTTCCATACCCACAGTTCCAACCAACCACAGATCAAAAATATTCCAAAAAAACTATCTATACTGAACTACATAGACATTTTTTCTTGTCATTATTCCCTAAATGATACAGTGTAGCAACTAGTTACATAGCATTTACATTGTGTTAGGTACTATAAGTAATCTAGAGATTAACATATACAGAAGGATCACATAGGTTATTCGCAAATACTATGCCATTTTTGGTGATGAACTTGAGCTTTTGAGGATTTTGGTATGCTTGGGGAATCCTGGGACCAATCCCTTGCCAATCGTGAGGGACAATTGTAATTGCACCAGGCTACGTAGAAGTATGGCCTTTGACATATACAGAGAAAGGCATAGATAACAGTTTTAAAACACATGCATGTTTTAACTCCTAAGCACATCATCAAGGATAACTTGTTAAACTGAACACAAGTTCAGAGAAGATAGGTATGTGGAAGGGCTTTTACTGCACGAATGAAGAAGGCCTCCAGATGAGAGGGGATTTCATGTCAATCAATGCCTTTGCCAAAAATAAGTGTCTTTTAGAATTTAACAACTGCCGGTTCCTTCCCTTTGGATCACTCAAGTCCGAGTCCCTTTTTGTGATTAATAACCGTGAGCCCTTTGGTAGTCTTTCAACCTTAGTTTATTCATTTGTGAAATGGAATTCTAGTACTTGTACTGTCTGCTTCACAGGGTTGTTGTAAGAATCAAATGAGAGAATGTTAATAAAGCTTTCTTGTGAACTACAAGGTATCAAACCAATGTCAAGAATTTCTATCCGTGCTGTAGGTTGAGCATCCACACGAGCCACCAGGATGAGAACCTGTGGCTCAGTCTCCCTCCCAGCAGAGAATCCCTAATGAGCACTTCTCTGTGTTTCTTATGGTTTCCCTTTCCTTTTCCCTTCCTGCACAGATTGGAGTTGAAGTGGTCTCATATCGAATGGTCACGGACTGAATACGAGGTCTGTGAGAATGTGGTTGTGTTGCCCTTGGAAATTACCAGAAGAGGATATTCCATGGACTCGGCCTTTGTTAGTATAAAGGTAATGGCTATAAAATGCAAATTGCTAAGCTAAGACTTCTTTGTTGGTTGGTGCCTTTATTAGAAAAATTCAATGTACTAAGGAAATTTCAAAGCATGGGGATGTTACTGGATTTTGAAAATCCTATGTGCACATTATCCTTATTCCTAGCTTTCATCTGGCCTAATTAACTCCCAGACAGGGTTCTTTAAACCAATTTTTAGTTTTGAAATTGGTCATTTTTTACACATTTTAAGGTTTTATTTCAACACATATTTTTTATTTATTTATTTGAGAGGTAAAGTTAGAGAGGGAGAGACGGAGAGAAAGGTCTTCCATATGCTAATATATTCCCCAGATGGCCACAATGTCCAGAGCTGCGCCTATCCAAAGCCAGCAGCTTCTTCCAGGTCTCCCATCTGGATGCAGGGGCCCAAGCACTGGAGCCATCTTTCGCTGCTTTCCCGGGCTATAAGCAGAGAGTTGGATCGGAAAAGGAATAGCCAGGACACAAATCTGATTCCATATGGGATGCTGGCCTCATGGGCAGAGTCTTAGCCTACTGTGCCATAGCACCAGCCAGCACTCTTTTAAGTTTTAAAGTTTGATTTCACACGGAGATCTATCCAACTTCATGAACTTGGTCCCAGCTTAGCTGCAGAAAAAGTTAAATGTAAGAAAGTCTGCGGGGCGTACCCAGTGTTTTTAGTCCTCAAATGGCTTTCTTTTGGAATGTACCCCAGTAACTTCCCCTAGTATCAGAGGAAGAGGTAAATCAGAGGGCTTAACCCTGTGGTAAGAGTCACCAAGTCATGTAAAATTACCAGAGATTGTATTGTATAGGAACTCTGATATATAAAGAATTTTCAAGTGATTATTTTTGCATTGGTCAAGTGCTGTCCCTTGCCAATGACCTGAACAATGGAGTACAATCTAGCGTTAAAGGATCTGTTTGGAGTCATAAAAACCACAGCCCTTCAAGAGATGGAGACCATGAGAAGCTGCACATTTAATGATCAAAGGAGGAGAATGAGCCTGACCCTCCTCCTCGGTCTGGTTAAAAAAAAATTAAAAGGAAAGCACAGAGTTAACTTCTGTGGAAAAATGGCATCTCTATTAATTCTCAGTTATTGCAATGAATTCAAATCACCCTCAACACCTCATGCACCCAAGTCAGCCATATCTGGATGTGGTCTGTATCTTTCCAGTGCATATAGGCTCTTTTTCCCCTGAGTTTTATTGTTATTAAAATAGCAGAAAACTCGATATGCTGTGTAATTTTCCAGAAGACTGCTTAGAGGTGGTTTGCTAGTAATCCTCTGGCCCTCCCTAGAAGGCAGCATATGCTGTAGTCTGCAGTTTTGGGCCCTGTTACCATCCACCTTTCCAGGTAGAAAGAGTAGACATGATGTGCATGGAACCTCGTATCTACTTAAACTGAATGCCCACTGTGAACCTGTCTGCTGAGTGTGCAGGCCTTCATCCAACAAGGTCCCTGAGTCTCTCAAGATTTCTATACCTGGAGCACCTCCTACCACCTTACTGGCCACTTGACAGGGAGAGAGAAAGCAGTTTTGCTCCAGTTTGAATTGTGTACCTTCACCTGACTGATTACTCCAACTACCTACCTTGCTCCAGACCATTCTTTTTCCCACATAGGATTCTGTAAACTCAGTGGTGGTAAATACTAGGTAATTGCACATGCAAGACCCATGCAGGGAAATATAGCTCCCAGCATATGGTGGCTACAGGTGTACAATGGGCTGCCTTTTCACAATGAAAGGTGGTTCAGGGGGAGCCTTGGCATTGAAGACCAAGAGCAAATGGAAGTGTGGGAAGTAATACCTCTCTTCAGCAAAATGTTTGCACTGCCTGTGTTTTGTGGTAGAGATGGGTCTGAGAGCTCCTGGAAGAGGAATTATTTGTAAGTTTTTCATTGTGCACATCTTTCCTTTTTGAGAAGGCACAGAACCATATTAACCAACTTCCCTGGCCATCTGAAATGTCTAGAAATAAATGTGCAAAAGTAACAATGCCCGTGATGCCCATGGAAGGTTCTCATTAGATTACCTCCTTTTCAAATCAACCCAGCGTGCTTTGCTTAACACATAGGTAGGCACTTCTTGGGCAAATTTAAGGTCGGAACATCAGAGCCCGAAATCACGCCTTTGGTTTTCAGTGCAGGCGTTCAGGAGCCAAGCATGAGTCCACAGTCCTTTTAAGACTGGGCGATGTGCTTTCCAGCTTACTTGATGGGCCCCTAGAGCTGGGGAATCTGGGTGTAGATTGCCTTTGTGCGGCTGTTCACCAGGGCTGTCAATCCCACAAAGCTCTCATTCATGCCGGTGAAGAGTGATGGTTTCATCCAGACAGGAAAATGGACCAGACTGGTTTGAGTTCATCTGGTCTGAAGGCTTTTGGTGCCCTGGAGCCTGCAGGATCCCTCAGTGCTGGCTGACAGATCATCACCCGGGTGTCAGAAGTATCCCCCCAACCTCCCCCCCACCTCTCTCTCTCCCTTTTCTTTGATGCACTGCTTTAAAACCAAGCTGGGATAAAGAGAAGGCAGTAAAATAAAATAGTGCTTTAGTAACAAAGAGAAAAAATATTGTTTAAAATTCAAGTGACTTTCTCCAATAACTGAATCACATATAAAGGAGAAGCAATAAAAGAAAGCAAAAAGCTTTCCTTTCCATTGATATTCGTCTTGCAGAAAGGGAACTTTGAGAAAGATCCATGTAAGCTTGACTCTAAAATGGTTTATTACAATAAAAAACCCACATAATATTAAAAACAGATTTAAGAGCATGAGTTTAGTCTAGTATGGGGCACAATTGATTTTTTTTTTATTATATAACATTTATCTTTACTTTAAAAAGACATTTGTTTCCCTTTAAGGTCAACCAAGTGTCAGCAACAGTTGGGAAAGATTTCACTGTGACTCCATCTAAACTGATCCAGTTTGATCCAGGTACATTTTCTGTCCACTGTTTGTTTTGCATGTTTGTAACCCAGTCTGGTGATTATGGCGAAGACAGAATATTATACAGCTTTAGCCATCAGGAACTCCTTGGGGATCCACATCACCCCACTCCAGAAGAGTTGAATTTACCTTTATTTTTATTTTATGACAGTGAATGCTCATTTAAAATGAGAAGAAAGATCATAACAAATAGCAAATATAAAATAGCAAAGCAGAAATCCAAAGCAATCAAGAACAAATAAGGTCATTTTAAAAATTATTTAAAGGCCTGGCACAAAGCTATAATCATTTAATTGCCTTGGAGTTTGATGGAAATTCTCAGAATGTTATGTTTATATGAGTTCCTGAAGGGTATTTCTAAATTGTCCTGCTTGGAATAGATTGATCTAGGAAAATTCCCAGGGAAATTATTTGTAAAGGTTTATTTATTTATTTTATTTTTATTTATTTTTTATTTTTATTTTTTTTTTGACAGGCAGAGTGGACAGTGAGAGAGAGAGACAGAGAGAAAGGTCTTCCTTTGCCGTTGGTTCACCCTCCAATGGCCGCCGCGGCCGGCGCGCTGCGGCCGGCGCACCGCACCGATCCGATGGCAGGAGCCAGGAGCCAGGTGCTTTTCCTGGTCTCCCATGGGGTGCAGGGCCCAAGCACCTGGGCCATCCTCCACTGCACTCCCTGGCCACAGCAGAGGGCTGGCCTGGAAGAGGGGCAACCGGGACAGAATCCGGCGCCCCTACCGGGACTAGAACCCGGTGTGCCGGCGCCGCTAGGCAGAGGATTAGCCTAGTGAGCCGCGGCGCCGGCTCAAAGGTTTATTTATTTAGTGAAAGGCAGAGGTAGAGAGAGAGAATCTTCCATCTGCTGGCTCATTCCCCAGATGGCCCCCTGTTGGGGCTGACCAGGATGAAGTCAGGAGCCAGGAACTCCACCAAGATCTCCCATGTGAGTGGGAGGAGTCCAGATGCTTGGGCCATCTTTTGCTGCTTTTCCAGTGTACCAGCAGGATGGGAAATGGAGTAGCTGGAAAGTGAACTGGTGCTCATATAGGATACCAGGCATTGAAGGCAGTGGCTTAACCCACTGTGCCACAGCATAGGCCCCAGGGAAATCATACTTTAACTAAATAGCATTTACTTTTTTTGCATTTGTGGTGAGTAGCTGTTGAGTCTAGCAGTTAAAATGCTTCTTGGGACACCATATCAGAGAATATGAGTTCTGGTCCCAGCTCCACTCCTGATTCTAGCTTCCTGCAAATGCACACCCTGGGCCAGGAGCAGGTGATGGCTCAAACAGCTGAGTCTGTACCATCCATATGGAGAACTGGATTGAGTTCTTGCTCCCAGTTTTGGTCTTGCCCAGATCCAGCTGTTGTGGGCATTTGGGAAGTGAACCAGTGAATCAGTGAATGGAAGCAATAATAAGCCCTTGCATGCGCGCGCTCTCTCTCTCTCTCTCTCTCTCACTCTCTCTCTCTCACACACACACACAGCTTTTCAAATAAATAAAAAGGAAAATTGAATTTGTGGAAAAATTTTGCTAGGTTCCAAAGGGAATACAAAAATACAGTGACTGCTCTCAAGGATGTTTTATCCTCAAAGACAGTGGGCCAGAGAGACATGAAAACACTCACTGATGGAGCATCAGGACTCCAAGGGTGAGCCATTGTTCTGGCTAAGGAAAGCTCTGAAAGATTTCTCAGGGAAGGCAATACTTAGGCAAGAAGAAAAGGAAGGAAACTCTGGGCTGAGGGTCCAGCACAGAAACGTGGAGATGCTTTGGGGCCAGTGTTGTGGCCTGGAAGGTAAAGCTGGCGCCTGCTATGACAGCATCCCATATGGGCTCTGGGTCAAGTCTTGCTGCTCCACTTCCAATCTAGCTCCCTGCTAATGTGCCTAGACGCTTGCATCTTCCACCACTAACACATAAAATTGCTGGAACAGACCAAGGAAAAAATGGCCTAATGACCATCACCATCCCAAAATTGACAATCATGATATTAAAGGCAGAAAGAAATGGCTTGCTGCTGTTTATCACAGGATGTTTGACCACTGTGCTAATTCCTCAGGGCTGCACAACACAGTACCACGAAGCGAGTGGCTTCAAAAACATACATTTACTCTTGTACAGTTATAGAGGCTGGAATCCAAGGGCAAGGGCAGGACCTGCCTGAGACCTATGAGGGAGAAGCTCTCCCCGGCCTCTCTCCCAGCTCCTGGAGCTTTGCTGGTGTTTGTGGGCTTCTCCTGCATCACCCTAGACTCTGCCTTCATCTTCAGTGGTGCCCTTCCTGTGTGTGTCCAAATTTCCTCCCTCTTATAAGTCACAGTAGATTAGGGAGACACCCTTTTCCAGTATGACTCTGTAAATTAATTACATGCACAATTACCCTATTTCCAAATAAGGTCACATTCTGAGTTAGTGGGAGTTAAGACTTAATGTTATGAATTTTTGAAGGGCCAATTCAGCCTGTACAAATGAGCCTTCACTTTGACACTCAGCCACCCAGTGTTGTTATGGCCTTCTTCCTGTGATATGTAACTTACTGACAGGGGATGCGTTGATTCCTCAGGCTGACTACACTGTGCAGGAAAATTGTTCCCATCATAATTTTGATGTTGACCCTCAGGCTGCTACAGGCTCTGGTGTTCTGGTTAACCTGACCATAGACGGGTTTGATGCATTTGCACTGTGCCATTTTTGTTTCGTACATTGTATTAAACTAGTTCTGATCTTTCCAATTTCTTTTTTTTTTTTTTTTTTTTAAAGACAGTGTTCCCATTGACTGATTCACTCTGTAAATTCCCACAAAGGCTGAAGTTGGGCCAGGCTGAAGCTGGAAGCCTAGAACTCAGTCTGGGTCTCCCATGTGGGTGACAGGGACTCAATTTATTTGAATCATCACCTGCTGCCTCTCAGGTGCTCAGTAACAGGAAGCTGGAATATGGAGCTGTACTGGGACTGAACCTGGGTACTCTGATATGGGGTGTGGCTGCCTTAACTGCAAGGCCAAATGTTCACCCCTGTCCCTACTTTTTGGAGTCAAGAGTCTCTGCCATATGTTGTCTTTGTTGTTTGAGTTCTGTTTGTGACAAGATCAGGAGTGATTTTGGATTCCAGCAGGTTTTGAGCAGCCCACCAGGAATTCTGTTTGGGTTGATAGGAACTAGAATGCATCACACTAGGGGAGGCTCTGAAATTTACCTCTTGGAGATTCACTGGGTAAGATAAATACCCATCTAGAGGAGTTTACATGTTGTTCTGAGTAGATCCTAATGACTTCTGGTGGCTTTAAATAATCTTATAATTGTAGAGATTATTTAAACATTTTAAGAAGTAATACAAGCATATCTTATAATGAGAAAAAACACTTGACTGTTCATTATTTTGGAATTTCTTAAGCCAGTAATAGTTTCATAAACCATAGTTTTGCTTTAGAGAATTTTTCATTTCCCCATACCCAGGTCTAGTCAATCTTTATTTACCCATTTTGTTAATCTTTGCCTCTTTGTGATCTGGTGTCCCCATCCCATTCCTCTGCCACCTTCACCCTCACCCCTTCTTTGCCCGGAGCAATCTGCCCATGCCTTTAAAAGCAGAAGCTTCTATGATCAGGTGGAAGAGTAAAGAGAGCAGTTAAATATAGTGAGATCTTTTAGATTTGGAGAACACTTAGGAAGGAACTGGGGAGAAAGCCTCCTGGTTGCTATTGTGTGAAACCAGTAGGTAGATCCTGACTAGGCTGCATTCTGCTGTTGTGACTAATTTTGAATCAGTGTGTAAATGCTCTGCAGAAAAATGATTGTTTTCCTTTCATATATTTGTTCTTGAAAGGTTTGCTGCATTCTCAATTGAAACTTCATCATTTCTATCAGTCATAATGTTTTCCAAAGGAACAGATCTGTGGCATTTACTAAAAAATATTGAAAAAACATCTTTCAATAACAAAATCTACTTTGCAGGAAAATACTCAGGAATTTACCTTTTCTGCGAAGTGGGATGTGCTGTATATAAAAAGACAGCTTCTCTCTCCTTTTCAGCACCTTTTGTTTTGTGGGAAGAGGGAGCCAGTTCAAGCCTTCCAAAAATGCTCCTGTATCTCAGGGACTTAACAAATACTTTGCACCTTGAAAGTAGAAGAGGAAGGGAAAAGAAAAAAAACAATGAAGTTCTTACTTCCAATCTCATTTAGTTAAAAGAAAGTTGGTCCTATATACACACCTGGGTGGGCATAGAAACACAGCTGAACTGCAGACAAATAAATCACAAGCACTTCAGTGAACTCAGAAAAGATTTTTGCTAACCATCTGGTTCTGCTCCATTAGACCCAACAAAAATGGGTTTTTTTTGGTGGTGGAAGGAGTACTTAACTTTTTAAAAGAAGAGGGCAGTTGGTTAGGGCTTGAATATATTTTTGTATTGGATTTTTATTTAAAGAATGCATAACTTTTTGTTTCAAAGGTCAAGATATTCACTATTAAGTTTCAGTATCTGTATGCTTTCTGCATTGTTTGCTGTCATTTGCCCATGCCAGTTTTACTACAGCAGCCACCTATGTGGCTCATTTTGCTGCAACATGCACTTTCAGTGTGCCACTTCTCTTTTCTAGAACCATCTCACTTGCCTGTGGTTAAAGTCTGAATCTGGCTGTCTGGGTTGCAGGGCTCTCTGCAGTTTGTGAACTACCTTTGCCGTCCTACAGCTTCCTGCCCACTGCTGTGTCCTCTCACCCTCCCCTGACCGAGGCCTCTGCTTTGCCACCTTCCTACCTTTGCTTACATTGTTCTCTCATTTCCTCTGTCCAATCCTTCCAATTCTGGAGCCTATATACACACACACACACACACACACACATATAACATAGCGCTCTAGCCTACACCTCCTGGCAGCTAATCATACACGACTTTGAATAGTTATAACCCTCCATATCCATGGGTTCCAAGTCCACTAATTCAACCAAACGTTGGTCAAAAACACTTGAAAAGAAAATTGTGTCTGCATTCAACCTGTGCGGAATTTTTTCTTTTCATTATTCCCTAACTAATAGAGTATAACAACTATTTTTCAAGAATTGACGTTATATTGAATATTGTAAGTATATGTGATTTAAATTTTATGGGAGTGTAGCATCGTTTATATGCAAACACACCACTTTATATGTGGGATTTGAACTCCACTACAGGTTCCGTTGTCCTCAGTGGTCCTGGAACCAACCCCCCATAGTGATCAAAGGACAGCTAACTATGTTTATATCTTAACTCCTCCAAGAAGTTTTAAACTCTTTCAGGTCAGCGTTTGGTTTATGTTACTCTTCTGGTATTGTCCATAGCATCTGTTGTAAAGGTTAAGATACAATAATTACAGAATATGTACTTTGATGGATTGATTCATCCATCAATGATGGGAATTAAATATGATTTTTCAGTAGATGCTTTAACTTGTGTTTTTGCAGACTGCAAAATAATTTATTAAATTTGATATTGAAAGCTTAATAAGTGTCAGCCTATGTTTTTAAAATAAAATTATTTCAAGGACACCTAATTCTTTGCCTCTAAGTGCAGCCAAGAGTAGGGTAAAGCAACAGGTTCATCTTTTTTTTTTTTTTAAAGATTTATTTATTTATTTGAAAGGCAGTTACAGAGAGGCAGAGGCAGAGAGAAGTCTTCCATCCGCTGGTTTACTCCCCAAATGGCCGCAACAGCCAGAGCTGGGCCAATCCGAAGCCAGGAGCTTCTTCCTGGTCTCCCAGGTGGGTGCGGGGGCCCAAGGATTTGGGTCGTCTTCTACTGCTTTCCCAGGCCATGGCAGAGAGCTGGATCAGAAGTGGAGCAGCTACGACTCGAACCAGCACCCATATGGGATACCGGTGCTGCAGGCAGCGGCTTTACCTGCTACGCCACAGCTCTGGCCAAAGTTCATCTTTACTTTGAGTTCTTTCTCTTGGGGATTGTTGAGACTTTGATTAGGTCTTGCAGTCTATGTGAGGCCTACCTTTAGGAAAGCATCCATCAAAGGGAAATGGCACAGTGGAGAGGCATGTCTATAGAAGGCAGTCTGCAAAAACTGAGCCATCTTTTCTGAAGAGGAGGCTAGAAAAATGTTTAATTGCTTTATATACAGGAGCATTTATGGAAGTGAAAACATTCGCATAAGCAAGAGTAAGCGGCAGAGTAAGGTTTTGAAAGTTAGTCCTGAGCCGGCGCCATGGCTCACTAGGCTAATCCTCCGCCTTGCGGCGCCGGCACACCGGGTTCTAGTCCCGGTCGGGGTGCCGGATTCTGTCCCGGTTGCCCCTCTTCCAGGCCAGCTCTCTGCTGTGGCCAGGGAGTGCAGTGGAGGATGGCCCAAGTGCTTGGGCCCTGCACCCCATGGGAGACCAGGAGAAGCACCTGTCTCCTGCCTTTGGATCGGCACGGTGCGCTGGCCGCAGTGCGCCCGCTGCGGCGGCCATTGGAGGGTGAACCAACGGCAAAGGAAGACCTTTCTATCTGTCTTTCTCTCTCTCACTGTCCACTCTGCCTGTTAAAAAAGAAAAAGAAAAAGAAAGTTAGTCCTATGAGGTTAAACTCCAAGTTAACTATCTTTCTGCCCCTTCAACTTGAATTTTCTTTCTCCACTGAACAGTGTTCTCTTTATTTCCTACCACTACTTTTTCTTTAAAATCACCTAAGACGGACATCCTGTCATAGACAACCTGAAATTGGTCAGAATTAGACAAAGTTCCCTTCGGTTTTGTCTTTTGGGGGTTGCTTTGCTTCCTGCTTTGATGGTGGCAGGAGAGCTGGGCAGTGTCTGTCACATCAGGACTGTTTTGTATTAACTTCACAAAGCCACTGGGAACCAAGCTCGATTGTAACTGTGTGACTAGAGGCAGACAGAAAGCAAGGGAAGAAATGGCACCATTTATTTCTAGAACCCCCCAGCTCATAAATTCTCTCTAGGAGGGTATCGGACTACTGAGTATTACATTATCAGCAAAAGCGTTTGTGGGCTACAAGGATCTCAGGGAGTAGGGCAGCTGTCTTTAGAAATTAATCGTTTCAAGAGTTCCATGAATTGCGTAAAGTACCAGCCAATAATCATTCCTGTCTGCATCAACATGTTAAGATTTTTTTGAAACCATTAAGATTTTAAGATTGCGGTACTTGTTTATTATTCAGAGAAGGGTTGGGAAAAAATGTAAGTCTTGGATCTCATCTACTCACTGTTTTTTTTCACCCCTTGCATATATAATGCAGCTTACTTTTTTGTTACAGTGTTTGCATTTAAAGGGAATCATCATTGTCCAGGAACAAATGTGGTCTTTCCTTATTATTTGGAAGAACAGCAGGACTTCTGTGAGTTGGTGGGAGTACAATAGCTCACTCAGGCTACTGCAGTCTAGCTGTCGACATGTTAATTAATATATTTCTCTGACACCTAGGTGATTGAAATAGCAATTAAAGAGTAATTAAAATGTTTATTTCTTGTAGGAATGTCAACGAAGACGTGGAATATAGCAATTACCTATGACGGATTGGAGGAAGATGATGAGGTCTTTGAAGTAATTCTGAACTCCCCTGTGAATGCAGTTCTTGGCACAAAGACAAAAGCCACAGTGAAAATTTTGGACTCAAAAGGAGGTATTCTTTTGATCCTCATCTTGAAATCAGGAGCAGTCCTGGCGCTGTAGCTGCTTGCTTTCAACAGCCAACATGCTTGATAACACCTTCAAATCAAAATGCTTAATTTCTTGTCAAGAAAGCAACCTCAGTCATGATGTAGGTCCTTTATTCTGGTTTCGTTTCATGTGGTTTTCCTCCTGCTAGGAACTAGTGCTTGAGAAAAGCAACAGGTCAGTGTGGTTGTTTTCTACCCACCCGTTTGCTGTTCTCACCGAGGGGGAGACAATGTTGGTGAGAATCTAGCAACAATTATCCTCCCCCCACACACACCCAGAGTTTGCAGGCCTGTAATTATCTTTCTCTGTTAAAAAGAGCTCTCAATGCCTAAAACCTCAGCCCCCACTGTAGTGTGACCAAGAAAACTCTGAGAAGAAGGAATTGGGGGAAAATAGATGTGAAAGATGCAGCCAGCTTGGGGATTGGGAGCAGCTGGAGAATGTTAATGAATGACTTTGGGTTGCTGAGCCAAACAGGTCCTGGATGAGCTATGCTAAAGAACAACCTGCAAACTAAACAAAATAAAAACCAGCCTTGGTGCTGGTTTTCTCCCCCTTCCAAATCCCATCTAGTTCCTTGTCTATTTAGCATTTGAGAAGTGTCCAGTAGCAGACTTGATCAATCTTATGCCCCTATTTTTCACATCTGTCATACCCTGTGATCCATGTTTGTTTGTTTTTTCTTACCTGGAATCCATTATCTCCTCTTTTTCACCCTAATTTAAAAAAATGGGCACTATCCTGTTTCCTGTATAATATCTGTATTTTCAAACCATCGCTTCCTGGCATCCTTCCTCACATTTATTTCTTTTCCAATAGAATTTTCTCATCATATTAAGCAGACAGAAATAACATGAAGTACACACTTTCTATGGGAGATGTAAATTCCCAAGTGATGCTCTGCCCTTAGATTATTTCTCATGCCTTCTCAGAAGTACTAATCAGCCAGGCTTCCAGCTCTGTTTCCATTTGCTAGGTCTTTATTCTGTTAACACTTGAATGCCAACCTTTATATTCGTTTCTCCATTCTATGACCTCTTTAAACAATTCCAGCTTCAACCTCTAGGAGAGGAGGAACATTTTAAAGAGATCAGAGAATAAACCTGATATATTGAGAGGTACAGTAACGTGAAGAAAGGGGAGGCTGTTCCCCTCAGGGAGAGGCATGACGATAAACTCAGGGCACTGGTTTTCATCTGTGGCTTGTGAAATCACTTTCATGGCTTTATAATCACCCCATAGATGGGCAGAAGGGCACAGCTTTAGGGGATGAAAACTGATGAAGAGTAAAAGGGTTTCTGGCAAATGGCAGAAAGGCAACATCTGGTGGGAAAACCATCCATTCTAGGTTTAATGACAAGCTGCTTCAGGAGCTGTGTCCATGTGGTCACTTATGTGTAAAATCAACTGACCAACTGACACCTTGCATGTCCCCAGGACGGTGCCATCCTTCGTATTCCTCCAAGCAAAGCCAGCACGACACATGGGAGCAGGGCATTTGGCCCCCGCTGCCCCCAGGATCTTCCTCACCCACCGCCTCTGGTTCCTTTCATCTGGAAGGAAGACCCTTTCCATCTTCCAAGTGGCAAGCAGTCACCAGGGGTGACAGCCTGCGGGGCTTTGATGCCACACATCATCATCGTTCTCAAAGGAAGCTGGGGGCCCACGGGAATGGCAAAACAGTAAGGATGGGGACCGTCTGGGAGTGGAGGAGCGGGACGCATAATAAAAGACACAAAAGATGCCAAAAGCTCTTCTGAAACACTAGAGAAGCTGTTTTGAGTCTCCTAGCCTGTAGGGGCCAGGGTTCCTCGCACAGTCATGCAGTGCATTTTTATACAAAGATCCTGATGCTGCCCGGCTTACTAGGTGATAGATACACGGAGTCATCCAGGATATTTTCTTTTGTGGTCAAGACAGATAGGGGATGGCAAGTGACCCTAGAACAATGAGATTCAAGTGATCCACTTGGTTCTGGAAGCCACGACTTTGACCTTCTTAAAATAGCATTTTAGACAGGCACATTCCTCATGAGTGTGTGTATGTGTGTGTGTGTGTTTTCTTGGACAGCTGTATACTAGATATACTAAAAAAAAAAAAAAAAGCAAAGAAGCAAAAAACCCAGTGTTTTCCTCACTGGGACAATTTTTGTGTGAATCAACACAACACATTAATTGTGATCAGGCCTAGTGAGTTAAAATTCCAAGAAACATGTTTTAAAAATTTTTAGGCACTCACAAGATTGTATCAAAAGGGTTTTAACCTATTACCAATCATTGTTCTAGCCAGTTTTCTCCATTTGTTGTCTTACATTGATTCCAGATTCGTCCATCCTCTGTTTATAGAAATGGAACAGACATCGTCTATAAAGTAAGCACAGTCAAAAGCACCAGATTTATTGTATTTATGTATGCAAAATATTTAGGCAAGTATTATAACCAGTATATTTATATATTTTTCTTAAAATTTTGTTTTGAAATTCGTTTTAGAGAATTGAGTGGTCAGAACAAAAAGAAACCTTTCATCTCTTTGTTTTGTTAATGATTTATGATTTTTGAGTTGCTCATGTTTACCACAAAATGTTTTGTTTGTTATCTTGGTGCGTGTTTTTTCTTTACTGTTGTTATTTTTTGATCTCCTCAAGTATCATGGGATGGTTTCCTTGAAACTGGAAGATGACAGTTTCCCAGCTCACAAAAGGCAGGCCAAAGTATCCATCATTAATCAGCCACAAAAGACAATCAGAGTGGCAGAACTGCCGCAGGCAGATAAGATGGAATCCACAATGGATTCACACGTCCCCAGACAGGTATGGAAATCTTTTTTTTTTTTTCCTTCCTATTCACCTTATAACAAGCTGTGTGCTGGACTGTAAACACAACTTAATTCACAACACAGCCTCCAAGCTTGAGAATAGTTTGCTTAACACAAATGCTGCCCAGCAAATGAAGACCCTGCGGAGGCAAGTGTGTGATCCACTTAGGCCAAGTCGGCTCTAAATTGCCTTTCCTTCCCGTAGGACCAGTTGCCTTCATTTCCAAAGAACTGCACTCTGGATTTAAAGGGCCTCTTCCATTTTGAAGAAAGCATTCAAAAGCTGTATGAGTGCAATGGGATTGCCTGGAAAGCCTGGAGCCCCCAGACCAAGGTGAGACACAGGCAAAGCCAAGCACTTTACTTGTAATATGTCCTGTGATAAGCTAATAAAGACAGAGTGATCTGGTTCATGACTGTGAACTCATGTATGTCTACATGCCCTCATTACACCTGAAAGCCAAGAAGGAGAAATGTCCCAAAGTAATTTTTCAAAATTTACTCATTTATTTATTTATTTATTTAAAGAAGCAGAAAGAGAGAGAAATTTCTCATCTGCCAGTTTATTCCTTAATGCTCACAACAATCTGTACTGGGCTGTGCTGGGCCAAAGCCAGGAGCCAGGAACTCAGTCTGGATCTCCCATTTGGGTAGCAGGGGCCCAAGTACTTGAGCCGTCATGGCTGCCTTCCTGGGTGAGCATTTGCAAAAAGCTGGAATTGGAAGTGTAGTCAGGACTTGAAGCCAGGTGCTCTGACCCAGGATGTGGGCATCCCAAGTGGCATCTTAACAACTGCACCAAACACCTGCCCCCCACAGTGATTTTTTTAAATCACAAAATCAATGCAATTGGAAAAGATGTCCTCTTGTTTTGTTTCATTGTCAGATGATATCAACTTAAAACACTGCTGACTCTTAGTCTTGTCTGTAGGAAGCCATTGAATTTCCTGAGATTGAGAGTTGGAATTAGGGTTGACTTTCTTCTTGGGACTCACAGAGTTCATTATCCTGGGAATAGACTCCAAGTGGTAGAGAATGTTACAATGTGAACACGGACAACTATTTTTCAGGCGGTGGAAGACAAATCCTGCCCCACTGGATGGCAACATCACTCAGGCTACTGTCACACATTGATCACAGGGCGGAAAGAGACGTGGGAAGCAGCGATGCAAGCTTGCAGGGAACAGTAAGGAACCTGATTTCACATTGGGTTGATATTTCCTTGTCCACTATTTTTTCTGTTCTCATAGAACTGCAGGCCTACTTCATTCATTCAAGTATTGAATGTCTGTCTGGCTTTGTTTCTAGAAGCCCTGAGGGAGTTCTGTGGTTCAGAATGGATTTGCTGCTGACCTTGGACTTAGCTCTTTGCTGTTAAAGCTGTGCCATCACCATATTTCTTTCTCTCCACCTCCCACCCCCGTATTAATTTTTTGGAGTCAGAGCAGCTTTTCTGAGTCAGCAGCATTGCACATTCTGATTGTTTTATATGTGATAGGGATTCTTGCTCATGGATTTGAAAATATATAGTAATAAAAATCGTAATAGCATCAGGCCTCCAGCAATGTGAGAGACACTGATGATTATAAAGCTAGACAAGTTAGACAAAGGCTCACTGAGTGATGGAACATTCAATGAACGATGGCTTGTGGTCAGGTAATGACAACAAAATTTATTTTGTCCAATACTTTAAAAATGCATATTCCTGAAGGAGGCGGCTCTTTTTTACAAATTTTTTTTTTTTTTTTTTTGGCCAACATGGATATCATCCAAACAATGCAATTAGACTGATATGGTCTGTGGCTAGGAACAGACTAGAGAAGTCCCTGGCTAGTATTGATCAGATCTTGTATCATCAAATTTTAAAAGTTATGGTCATCTAAAGATACCATTAAGAAAATGAAGGAGCAAACTACATTCTGGAAAAGCTATTCTCAAACCATATTTTTCTTTGATAAAGTTCTTGAATTCAGAAAATACAAAAAAAAAAAATCCTATAAACCAATAACAAAAAGTAACTTAAGAAATAGAAAATGACTTGGAAACTTCACAGGAGGAGATATGCAATTGGTCAGGAGTTATGCTCAACACCAATAGATATCAGGTCAATAAAAATTAAACCGCAATGACATACCACCTCACACCCACTAGAATAGCTAAAAGTATTACAAAGACAGTAGCAAACATTGGTGAGAATGTAGAACAGATAGAGGCTTCACACAATGTTGGTGAAAGTGTAAAGTGGTACCCTTTGTAGAATTGTCTGGAAGTTTCATATAAAATCATGTATATCTACTCTATGATCTAGCAATTATACTTGTAGGTATATAAACAAAAGAAATAGAAACATGCACTAAAAGAAAACACAAAATAATTCTGTAGTAACTTTATTTATGATAATAATTGAGTCATTTTGTTTTTTACACTATTGATTTGTAGGAGTCCTAGGTATCTTCTCCACTAACTAGAGAATGTATTTTCTCTTCTTTGGTAAAATGTTTTAAAAGCAATGAAATGGAATGAACTCCTAAATCTACAACCATGTGGAAAATTGTAGGTAAATCAAAAACAGAATGTAGAGAGACAGCAGCTCTCCACAAAAGAATATATATTGTATGATTCCACTTTTATGAATAGGAAAATCTATGGAGTGAGAAACAAAAAATAGTATTTCCTTGTACTTCATAAAAGTGTAAAAGTTTTGCATGTCAATCCAAAAAGTGTTTAATACAATAACCAAAAAAGTTAAGTAAAAAATACTGGGAATTAAAAACAATTTAAAAATGATTATCTCTGGAAGGAATTATGGGATGCTTAGAAAATAGCATGAGTAAGGTAATATTCTAGGTGGAAATGTTCTGTGTCTTAGTGTGGGTGTCTGTTACATTGTGCATATACATTTGTCAAAAGTCATCAAATTAAATATTTTAAATCTATGCATTTTATTCTATGTAAATCATAAAAAGTGGTCAAATCAACCACCTTTTTCATCGATGGTGTATGTCATATCCTTACTATAAGTAGAGTCACCACAGGGATTTAATCATTGGCTTTGAGGATTTTGTTGCTAAGTTGGTAATATAAAGTAAAAAATTTTTTAAAATCTTTAAGATAATCATTGTTTAAATACATACAGTTCCTTATATTTGGGAACAAATGACTTTCTTCCTGGAAAATCATCAGATGTCCTACTTGTATTTGAAGTTTGACTTCAGACATTGAAAGCTTGGGTAGGAGTACTGGTACTTGGTCTTTTTATCTCTTAAGGAAAGATCTTTGATGTAGATGCAAAAGTTTCCTGAACTAGCAAGGAGAAGATTGTAGTATGCTACAAAAAAGGAAACGATTAGGCTTCTCTACTGACAAAAATGTGGACAAGTGCAGTTATACACCAGTCAAGGTTATCAAGATTAAATTGTTGCTGAGATTTCTTGGTGAAATATAGATGAAGAAAACAAAACTCCCCACTTCAAGTGTGGAAGAAGACTTGTTGTTCATCTTCCTTAATGTTCTCAAAGGACAACACAAGTAACTCTGCTGGTCTATAATGTAACTTTCATTGAATTTTAATGTTGCAAGAAAAATAAGGATAACACGTATTGACAGCTATCTTTCCAAATCACAGATTTTGGTGCAAGGTCACCATGTGTTTTCTCTTAGAAAGACTATTCTTTATAGTAAGATTATGATCTTCTAGCTTTTTTGGTATCAAAAATAGATTTTTAAGAAATAATGGTGGCCAGCACCGTGGCTCACTAGGCTAATCCTGTGCCTGCTTCGCCGGCACCCCAGGTTCTAGTCCCCTTCAGGGCGCCTGATTCTGTCCCGGTAGCTCCTCTTCCCGTCCAGCTCTCTGCTGTGGCCCGGGAAGTCAGTGGAGGATGGCCCAAGTGCTTGGGCCCTGCACCCGCATGGGAGACCAGGGGGAAGCACCTGGCTCCTGGCTTCAGATCAGCGCACTGGCCGCAGCGGCCATTGAGGGGTGAACCTAATGGAAAAAGGAAAACCTTTCTCTCTGTCTCTCTCTCTCACTGTCCACTCTGCCAGAAAGAAAGAAAGAAAGAAAGAAAGAAAGAAAGAAAGAAAGAAAGGAAGGAAGGAAGGAAGGAAGGAAGGAAGGAAGGAAGGAAGGAAGGAAGGAAGGAAGGAAGGAAGGAAGGAAGGAAGGAAGGAAGGAAGGAAGGAAGGAAGGAAGGAAGGAAGGAAGGAAGGAAGGAAGGAAGGAAGAAAGAAAAATGGCAGCTGACAGTAAGGTTGATTTCTTAACTATAACAACCCTCCATAAGTCTCCAAACATCTTTTTGTAAATATGTTTTTTACTGGGGCTGGCACTGTGGCGCAGCAGGTTAAAGCCCCAGTCTGCAGCGCTGGCATCCCATATGAGCGCTGGTTTGTGCCCTGGCTGCTCCACTTCCGATCCAGCTCCCTGCTATGGCCTGGGAAAGCAGTAAAAGATGGCCCAAGTCCTTGGGCCCCTGCACCTATGTGGGTGACCTGGAAGAAGCTCCTGGCTCCTGGGTTTGGATCAGCTCCACTTTGGCTGTTGTGGTCATCTGGAGAGTGAACCATTGGATGGAAGACTCTCTCTCTCTCTCTCTCTCTCTCTACACCTCTCTACCTCTCTACCTCTCTACCTCTCTCTGTAACTCCGTATTTCAAATAAATTAAAAAAGTTTTTTTTATTGATCCATTTCACTGCAGCTGGGTTTTAATGATATGTAGCTAGACGAGTTATAGAGAGGCTCTTCATGTCTACTATTATTGTAAAATCCAATCGTCCCAATAATCATGTTAAGCCCCAAATTAAGTTAAAAGCCTAACTGCTTCCTCATATAATTGACCTAAGAGTTCATCTGCAACTTCATTTTAAGCACCTTCACCAATGAAATGGCCTGACCTAGTTCTACACTTCTTGCCAACAATGCCTTACTTTTATATTTTGCTTTATCCTTTATGGAATTCTTCCACATGTGTTAGTTTATTTGATACTTGCATCACTCGGTGAGGGATCAGATATTATTATCCTCTATAGATTACAGGTTTAAAAGAAGAGATTTAGGGAAACAAAAGCACTTGTTCATGGTCATACATTTATACAGGTAAATGAAAGAAATAGGATTCAATTTTATACTCTCTGAGAGAGTACCATAAGTAAAAGGGATTTCTCATCACAGTTGTATAGACAAGCCTGTCTATTTTAACATTGTGTTGGCTAAAGTATGTTTTCGAAATTATGTGTAAATAATTTTGTTATCTCTCATAACCAAGACATACTAATATTTTAATTAAATTATGGTTCCAACTTTCCATTCAGGGCAAACCTAAAGTATAACCAAGTTCCAATTTTATACATTTGCTCATACAAAAAGTATTTATTGGGTACTTATTGTACTGGAAATGTCTGAACCAGGTCATACTTTGAAGTAGCATTCTCTAGTAGTGACCCCAAAAGCCAATAACTAAATAATTCCCTATTCTTCAGTGAGTTTAAGGTAGATAGACACCATAACTCTCCAGATCCAACTGTCCTACTGGCAAGTCCTAAATCATATTTCTTTACATTTTAATTAGCAAGTGGTTATTGTATATATTTATGAGCTACATGCTAAATTATATATGTAAGATTATCATACTGTCCTTTTCCTTATTCCCATCCCATAAAGCTCTATTAAGAATATGAAGGTTGCTGAATTATAGGATATAGCTTTCATTGAGTTGATGTCTTCCTATAGGTCCAGTTAGGTTCTCTAGAACTAAATATATGAATATAAGCTACAATCAATATTTGTTGATTACATATACAAGAATATAAATGGTACTTATAAATACTTACAAGTAGAAAGACATTCTTTTGAATAAATCATTACCAAAGCTTTTATGATACCTGAAAATGTTCCACCTTTCCTTAATTCAAGGGGATTAATAATCATATCTAACAAATCAAATATGATATCATAAGTAGACACAGAACTACTGTTCAAAATATGTTGATAAATTCTCATCTCATAAATGTTTTAAGCTGTAAAGTTCTGAGTTTCTTAGAAATCTGAAAGCTCTTAGAACAAAAGAAGGCTATTAGAAACAACTGGTGCTTTTCCACCGTATTTTAGAAAATGACCAATTATTTGTCAGAAAACAAACTCTGTCAAATTTCAAATTGTATCTTTACCATACTGGTCTAGAAATTAAAACATGTATCATATACTATTTCAGGTTGTATTCTAGGTTGTACAAGGGAAGTAAAGAAAATATATATGGTGTTATATTTTTAAATATCATTTAAAAAGCTTCTACCTTTAAAATATTATATATGAGTATTTCAAATTGCATTTATTTGATAATTAAGTGTGCATTTTATTTCAAAAGGACAGGAAGAACAATTATAGTTGTACTAGTTATAGGGATTTCAAAAAAAAAAAGCACTCTAGGAGCAAATTCAAAGAAAATTAATGATGGCCACACTCCTTTGTGTCAATCATTCTCAAATAAATATTTTTTTGGTGATCAGGTCACCTCCTTGGTATAATTTTTCCCTGAATCCCAAGTCTTCCTCTGCCAGTTCAGAATTTTTCCCCACCCTTTGAGACTCCCTCTTTCCCTTCGTCATTTACTTTTCTGGTTCATTTTGGCCTCTTCGCCGATCCCATTGGCTTGAAAAGGGGTATTCCTCTGAGAACTGTCAGTTCCTTGCATGGTGTAAAATTTGCAGCTTTGCATTTTATAATAAGTAGCCTTGCCATGTCATTAGGCATTTTAGAAGCTAGTTTTAGAATCTGTAATTAGAATGTATGTAATATGTTGTCCAATTTGATCTTGGGAACAATTATTTGATTCTGGACTATGTTTCCTGGAGTTCACTGGTCTAGGTATCTGAAGGTCCTTCTTGGTGGATCATTTACAACACCCATGTTTCTATAAAAACAGCAAATTTTTATGTTCTACCTTGCCCCCATTGAGATTCTAACTCAACTCAATTTTTATCTCCAATCTCCTTTACTCCCCATTAGTGTTTATTATTTTTCTAACCCTAAGGAGCCAGACTTTTAGCATAGGCATCTCTTGAATTTGCATGTTGTAATCTCATCTGCTCATTTCCTATGGCAGTCCTTGTACATTAGGTAATTCTATTATTATAGATCTTTATCTATGAACCTGTTTTGTCTTCCCACAGGAGTGTCTGGAACCCCTGCTGGTCTATCCTTAAAGAGTTACTCTGAAATGTATCTACACATAATCTAAAACTTTCAAAGAAGTAGATGGTTACTTCTATAACCAGCAAAATTAAGTTTTGTTTTTAATTTTATACTTTGAATGCCTTCAAATTTAATAGCTGTCAAGAGATTCACATTTGTAAATGTGGGCCTATGTACTTTATTTTTTATATCCATTAATACACATATCTGTATAGATAATGTCTACCAGGTTTCATATGTATATGAACAGAAAGAAAAAGAATGGTATTTTAACAAAACAATCAGCACACAAATGCCCAGATACTTCTTTTGTAAATAGCTATGCTCTAACAGTTTACCTATCTGAAGCATAGCTATTTGTTTGCAGTAGTGGAGCTTCTTGCCTTTTGGAGAGTCAGAAAGAAAGCCAAATCATACTTAGGCAACTGAAGTGCAATTTACAAAGAGTGTTTTAAACTTAGTTTTACGAATCTTCAAGCTCAAGGTAGTGTCAAATATCCTTGAATAAGGCCCGTGACTACTCGTGATGAAGTTGAGGATGTGAAGTTGGTAAACTTCAGTGAGGAAATTAGTTCAGCAAGGGAATTAGGAGGTAGAGCAGGATGTGGAGCCCAGGTCTAGCCAGCCAAGTCCAGTGAACCATATTAGGCAACACGGTCACTCAAACTTGGCCTACATTTTACACAAATTTGATTTTATATACCTGTTGTGACTGTCAGACAGGAGTTGACAGTAAATAATGACGTCAGAGCAAAGTCATGAAACTGAAATCCAGCTTCCTTAGGCCATTCAGTGGTGGAGCAAAGAGCCTCACCTATTTCAGGGGCTTGGAAGTCACCACCGCATTACAGAGCAGCAAAGTATGGATTTTAGTGGGGAAAAATCATTAGGAAACAGACAAATTGCTCTTTTTTTTAATTGTGATTGGATTTTTTTAATATTTATTTGAAAATCAGAGTTACACAGAGAAGGAGAGGCAGAGAGAGAGAGAGGTCTTCCATCTGCTGGTTCACTCCCCAGTTGGTCAGAGCTGCGCTGATCTGAAGCCAGGAGCCAGGAGCTTCTTCCAGATCTCCCACGCAGGTGCAGGGGCCCAAGGACTTGGGCCGTCTTCCACTGCTTTCCCAGGACATAGCAGAGAGCTGCATCAAAGTGGAGCTGCCAGGTCTCCTACTGGCACCCATATGGGATGCCAGCACTGCTAAACCCACTACGCCACAGTGCCAGCCCTGGCCCTGACAAATTGTTCTTAACATAAGTGGCCTGGAAAAGCAAAGAAATGGAACTGAATTTTGGAAGGATATATGCAAAATGAATTAGGTTCATCAATTCAACAATGTCTAACCTGATATAAGTGTTACTAATTTTGTTTCCTAATTTATTCAGTATCAGCAGAGAGTAACCAGGCATTTTATTTGTTCTTGCTTGGTTTTTTAAAAAAATGTTACTTATTAATTTGACACATAATAATCATGTGTTTATAAGGTCCAGTGTGATGTTATGTTGTACAATGTGTATATTTCTTTTTTTTTTTTTTTTTACATTTATTTATTTGAAAGGGAAGGATTCTGAGAGAGGTAGAGACAGAAAGATATCTTCTATCCACTGGTTCATTCCCCAAATGTCTGTAAGAACCAGGACTGGGTCAGGCTGAAGCCAAGAGCCAGGAATTATATCTGGGTCTCCCATGTGGGTGGCAGGAGACCAATCATTTGGGCCATCCTCTGTTGCCTTCCCTGGTCTATTTGCTGGAAGCTGGATGGGCAGCAAAGCAGCTGGCACTCGAACTGGCACTCCAGTATGCAATGTCAGCACCACAATTAGCAGCTTTTCCTAACCTCTGTTGCACGACACCAACCCCATGTATTTGTTTCATATCTGAAACTTCTGTTTTTTAAAAGAAGAAAATGTAAATATTGGCTTTTAACGTACATCATGTTTAAGAGCACTGTTAGGGAATCAGACATAATCAAATAAGTCTTAGAGGAATAATTCAGTCAGCTGCAAAAAGTAATTCATAAAGAATTCTATTCAGTGGGGAAATTTGCATGTGTGTTTGTAAGAACAAGTGCTTTAACTTCAACAGAATAGGTGAAGATTTTGACAGTGGGGCTACTGTGCTCATTGCATTAAACATAAGGAAAAGTCATTAATTATTAGGTTATTTGAGTAAATATATCAAGCTCAAAATGAAGACCTCAAGTAATTGTATCTGAATAATTTAGATTATCTTACTAATCAAATTAATTGGATAATTGCCAAATTTATACCATTAGAAATGACTTAAGAATAACTGATTAATCTTTCTAAGTCGTTGATGCTGACTTTCCCAAAAGATGTTCAGAATCTATTGAACTGTACTCTGCAACCCAGATATTACTGTACACTAAAGGATCACTTTCCCTGCCTTCACACCTGCCCCTACTCTGCAGATACTCATTAAAGTAAAAAGAGTAGTAGAATATTTGAAAGTTCTTTTTACACATACTTTTTTTTAGTATTTTAAACTAACTCTCATTTGTGTTATGCATTTCACGTTAGCAGAAATGTTCAATTGCATTTTCGTTTGTTTGTGTGTAGACACTTGGGCAGCCTTGTGAGTGTGTTTTCCAGACAGCACATGAGATGGCTCTGGGACATCAGTGGAAGAAAGCCCTTTTGGATAGGCAAGTATCTGTGCTACACTAAGGAGGGAGACAAAAAGAGGAGGGGACTGGGCACCACCACCATGCACTGTCTCCATGGATCAAATGATTGGGGTTTAAGTGACAGGCAGTAGTTGGTTCGGTAGTCTCGTCCCCTCTGTTTTTACAGTTTTTTAAAGACTTTATTTATTTATTCGAGAGCCAGAGTTACATAGAGAGAGAGAGGCAGAAAAGCCTTCCATCTGCTGGTTCACTCCCCAAATGGCTGCAACAGCCAGACCTGGGCCTATCCAAAGCCAGGAACCAGGAGCTGCCTCTGGGTCCCCCACACTAGTGCCGGGGCCCAAGCACTTGGGCTATCCTCCACTGCTTTCCCAGGCTATAAGCAGAGAACTGGATAGGAGGAGGAGCGGCTAGGACACGAACGGGTACCCATATGGGATGTCAGTGCCACAGATGGAGGCTTACCCTGCTACACCACAGCACCAGCCCATTTTTACAATTTTTATTTTATTTATTTATTTTTTATTTTATTTATTTATTTCAAAGATAGAGAGACAGAGTCTGAGGCCGTGCTGTAGCGGCTACCAAGACAGAAGAGAACAGAAGGGGTGGAGACTAAACTGGATTTTTTTCAGCCCCAGGTACCAAAGCTGGTATGATTTAAGAGTACCAACACTAGGAGTTGGCACTGTGGCGCAGTGGGCAAAGCCTCCACCTGTGGTGCCGGAATCCTATATGGATGCCATTTCCTGTCCTGGCTGCTCCCTCTTCTGATCCAGCTCTCTGCTTACAGCCTGGGAAAGCAGTAGAAAATGGCCCAAGCACTTAGGCCCCTGTACTCCTGTGCAAGACCTGGAAAAAACTCCTGGCTCCTGGCTCGAGATCGGCCCAGCTCCAGCCTTTGCTCCCATTTGGGAAGTGAACCAACGGATGAAAGACTTTTGTCTTTCTCGTCTCTTCCTCTCTGTAACTCTGCCTTTCAAATAAATAAATGAATCTTTAAAAATACAAAAAGGCAGAGAGACCACTACAGAGGTCTCCTGTTACATGATTCACTCCTTCGATGCCTGTCCGTTACTACACACTTAAATATGCCAGGAGCTTTACAGGCATTAGCTTATTTAATCCTCAAATTAGCCCTAGAGGTACTATTTCATGCTCATTCCTTCAATTAGGAAACTAAACCTCAGGCAGGTTAAATAACCTGCCCAAAGATGCTCACCCAGCAGGGATAGAGCTAGAATTATGGACTCAGGTCTGCTTGACCTCAAAGGCTGTTGTTCTTAAGTCTTTCTTAGAGCATCCCCAGTTCCTAATCTTTGAGAACCTGGTCATTTGAATGTGATAGCTTAGAACAAGAGGCTGGATGTGATACATAAGTGTAAGTGTAATGAAATCATTTGGCACGTCCTTTGGTTCACCTTAGGTTTGAACGACCAAGTGCATGCCGGCCATTGGGAATGGATTGGTGGTGAACCCGTCACCTTCACCTCCTGGAGGAGAGGGCCCCCTCAGCGCACGAAGCCTGGGAGAAGCTGTGTTTTGGTTCAAAGACTAGGGAAATGGCAACCAAAGGACTGTAGGAAGGGCAAGCTCCACAATTATGTGTGCTCCAGGAAACTCTAAATGCGACTGGCTCTACAGGTGCCCTCCCGGGATTTCTCACCTATTTATTCACAGGATATGTGAATGTCGCTCAGTGGAAAGCAAGTTGTTGTGACTGGCCAAGTTCATCTTTGTGATGAACAAATTAATGGTTCCAGGGAGACTGATAAATGAATATTCCTTGCAAATGAGATGTAATTTTTGCATCTTAATATCTTTCAGACTAAATGTCTACAGTATTATAAGGTATAAAATTTACTTATTCTAGAAGACTCTCAGCCTCACCCCTCTCCAAATCTCAGGCATCACTAATTCCATGGTTCTTGGATTTTTTTTCACCCCATGACATCAAATGAATCTACTCTGATCTGTGTAATGCGGGTGCTCCTACCACTTGATTCTAAGCGAACCTGAACCAGTAATGAACTGGTTTGTCTCTTTGGAACCCTTTAAATGTGAAACCTGGAATCCCAGCCTGTGTAGATGGGAAGGAGAATTCTCGTGGTGAAAAGGAAAGCTTTAGATGGGACAGATTTGCAGATGGAGGCTCATGTACAGAACTGTAGTTCAGGTGAGAATCCAGGGCGCTACCTGCGCTTCTGAGATCCACGCATCACTGCTCATGAAACAGATCTCCTTTTCCAGTGTGTATGTTGGCTTTGAACCGTTCCCAAACCAAAGATTGGGTTTCTCCAAACTGACGGAGTCATGAGAAATTTGAAGTAACCTGATCTCTTCATCTGTGTTTACTGTCCTGACTAGCATTCCGCAAGGACATTTGGAATACAGGGTGTCTATGAATGACAATTGACATATGGAAGAAAAACAGTGCCTCCTCAGAGGTGTCCCCCATGAATTATGCTGATGAACAAAGAAAAATAATACTGAAAACAGAGCTCTTAAAAGCCTGAGTTGTCAGAAAGGAGTTTGATGCCATTTTAAGCCCTGAAACCTTTAATATTCACAGAAATGCCGTGTTCAGTAGATTCTCTAATGGAAGGCTACCTTATTAATTTATAATCTCAGCTGAGTGAAACATTTTTGAAGCAGTGATGCGTGTTGCTGCCTTCCCAGAACTCCCTGCTGAAATCAAAGTTTGATTACAGGAAATTAGAACTTTATTTTCTGAAACATGTATTCAAAATGTTCCTCTTCGTATAATCACTGAAACTATGGCTGTGCCAGTTGTAACATGCTGCGTGAGTACCAGTGTGACTTCAGAATCCAAACAGGGTTTTCCAATGGACTAGAGCTTGGGGGAAGGTCTCACTACAGTACCTGAAGTGTTGAAGACACTGGCAATGCTTGAAGGATCTCGGCCCAGTTTCTGGATATAAAAGCATGACAGACTTGTTTCATTCTGCTCATTTATGGAAAATTACTAGAAAAAATTAACAAAGAGAGGTTGGGCTAAGACGCAGATGTTCTACCTCTTATACATCCAAGCATATTTGCAGAATCAGAGGTCTCCTTATCTTAGATGTCACAGGTGGGCTCCAGGTACAGGTCTCATGTGGGACAAAAGCAGTCTTTGGTGCTTAACTGAACGATGTCAAACTCTTCCTCCATGTCAGCTCTAGTTAATTCCTGTCCGAATCACTCTTTCTGCAGTGTGGAAAGGTGTGGTTCAGGAAAACAAAAAGAAAGAGTTATTTATCTAAAGAGTTAAGTCCTAGGAGAGAAAGTGAAAATTCAAGGAATGAGGAATTCAAGGGTCACACCTTCCTACTGGAACTCTAAAACTACAAAAATACTACCCCAAACTGGAAATCTGGAACTATGTCAACTTTGAAAAATCTGGTCAGTTTGGGAGATTCCACACATCTAATGCAATAAAAATGATACTTAATTGTAATTGTAAATGTCAGCATAAAGAATGTTTTGATTTTTATAACAAAAAATCAATCTAGAAAAATATTTAAATTGTTCTTTTTAGTTATGAAAGTGTGATTTAGTGGAAAATCCACTTAATTGGAAGAAGGCACAAATAGAAATTCAGGCAAGTTTGGGTGCCAGGCAATATTCATCGCAAACTTCATTTCTTTCTCATGGTTGTGCTTTGAATTGGGGAAAAGGAAAGAAACCTTTGTCATGGTTTCCTCTGCTTGACTGGTCACCGGTGCCCTTCAAGTTCTGGTTGGAATGGGAAGGAATGAGACAGAGTAAGGAGGGAATTGGAGGTTATGGGGGAGAAGAGGTGAGAGAAAGGAGCTGAGGGGAAAGGGATGGGCACTGAAGGTGCTAGGAAGGAGAGCACCAGGAAGAGAGACCTGAGTGTCTTCCGGATCTTCTCCCCAAACCTGAATCCCAACTCAAGAGAAGTCTCCCTGTATGCAAGCCATCAGTCCAGCTCAATGACCTGTGGCTTTTCAGAATCTACCGATTTTTGGTCTTCAACAAACACACAACATAAATTTGCTAAAAATAAACTTGGAACACATGATAATCATGTCTTCTCTTTCCAAGGAGTGGTAAGAAATTAACCAGGTGACATTTATTTGCCTTTTAGTTTTTGTTTATTTTTAATACAGCTGAAAAGATGTGCACATCTTTTCTTTCACACTATGACTCTGTGTAATTTAAACTGCAAACTGGTGCTGACTAATGTCTGCAAAAAAGCAGCATATGAAATGTACTGTATCTTGTGTTGCATCAAAATGAATAAAATACATTTATTTCTAGTCCTGAGTCACTGTTTCCAACATTTTATATTCTTCAGCACATATGGGATTTAGGCTTTAATGGTCCTACCCAAGGTGAGAAGAGAAAGGACAAAAAGCATAATATTCCTTCCTTCCTTCCTTCCTTCCTTCCTTCCTTCCTTCCTTCCTTCCTTCCTTCCTTCCCTCCCTTCCTTCCCTTCCTTCCCTCCCTCCCTCCCTCCCTCCCTTCTTTCCTTCCTTCCTTCCTTCCTTCCTTCCTTCCTTCCTTCCTTCCTTCCTTCCTTCTTGGAATGACAGAGAGAAAGGGACTTTCAGAGGGAGATAGAATTTCCATCTGCTGATTTAGCCAGGGCTGGGCCAGACCAAAGCCAGGAGTCAGGAACTCCATCTGGATCTCCTGTGTGGGTGGCAGGGGGTCAAATATTTGGGCCATCTTCTACTAAGCTCCAAGCACATTAGAAAGAAGCTGGATAGGAAGTGAAGTGCTGGGACACTGGTATCAAAGTGGCAGCCTAACCTACTCTACAACACTGGCCCCCAAAATATGTCTCTTATCTTTGCTATTTCCCAGCTTTTAGTTGCATGGTTTTTACATATACAGCTACCATTCAGTCACATTCAATCAACACATTTGGACACGGAAGTCCCAACTGCGCCTGATAGCTAGATATAGGGGGTATGAAAGTAAATGGAATAGGAAAATAAAAACATGAAAGCATAATGGCATATATGCAAATTTCTAACAGTTTTTGTTTTGTTTTGTTTTTTTTTGAACCTCAGGCTTTTTTTATCAGGAATGAAGTCACAGCAGAAATCAGTGATTAAATTATTTCTTTTCAGAATTGGAGAGAAACACAGATGCAAACCATTCAGGCTGACTTTTTAAAAAGATTTATTTGTTTATTTGAAAGAGTTACACAGAAAGAAGGGGAGGCAGAGAGAGAGAGAGAAGTCTTCCATCCACTGGTTCACTCCCCAGTTGGCCACAATGGTCAGAGCTGTGCCGATCCGAAGCCTGGAGCTGCTTCTGGGTCTCCTGTGCCAGTGCAGGGGCCCAAGCACTTGGGCCATCTTCTACTTTCCCAGGCCACAGCAGAGAGCTGGATCAGAAGTGGAGCAGCCGGGACTTGAACCGACGCCCACATGGGATGCCAGCACCACAGGCGGCAGTGCCACAGCGCCGGCCCTCAGGCTGACTTTTGTTATATTCCTTGATTCACCTTCTGAGTTTATGAAGAGTCCATAGCAGCTGTCCCAAATGCCATATCTCCAAAATCAAGATGGGAACTAGGGTTTTTGAATCTAGTACATTGGCTTTGTAATAATTACCTTTTCCAAAGTGACAACCCATGTCTGTCCATGTACCTTAGAGATTCATAGGGGAGCAGAAATTAGAGGCCTCATCATCATGTCTAATAGCCTTCTTTTACAACAGAGGAGACCTAGGTGCTCAGAAGTTACAGAGTAAAGAAAACAACACCAAGGTCTTCTGAACTGTAAGCTGAATCCGTTCGTCTTCCACCTCTCTGGTAACCTCTGAGCAGATGGCTTTATTGTATTGAAGTAAGATGTCTTTGAATGAGGAGTACAATAAAATTCACCATCTCTCGAAAACACTATTGTAAATGAAAGCAGACCTAAAAGATCACGTGGTGTGTAATTCTGTTTATATGAAAAGACCCCAAAATGTACCTCCGTAGGGACACAGAGTAGACTGGTATTTGTCAAAGTGTGAGAAAGAGGGCAACTGGGACTCATGGCTAATTGATACAGGGTTCTTTGTAAGGGATGAAATATTCTGCTGCAGTTACATTGTGGTTGCATAAGGTAGTAAATACACTAAAGCCATTGAACTGTATGTTTTAGGATGGTGAATTTTATATGAAGTGTATTTCATTTAAAAAGCTACTAAATTCTAGTTTAGAAAGCTAAAAATGAGTCAGTGTGTTTATCTGACTCATCTAAGATATTTTCCAGTCTTTGCCCTGTGCTTCACCTAGGTTTTTGTTTATTTGTTTGTGTAGTTGGTTCAGCAGAAGGGAACGCTGACTTGATGTATTTTTAAATTTACAGTCCTGCTTTATTGATCCTCTCCTTCCTCCCCAAAAATCATAGGAGAACGATTACTAATGGCAGAGGGTGCCTGAATGTCTGTAATGTCCAGAACACTGTGATTTTCTTAAAATTAATTTTACAAGCCTGTAGAACAGGATCATGCAGGAAATGAATAGACTATCCTCATAACTTGCACATTTAACTGTTCATTTTGAGCAGTTTTTATAGGTCTTATATTCTGCTAGGCAATAAAGTTAAGTTTATCTTAAGACAGAAAGGAACAAAAATCAACTGACACTTCCATTAAAGGCCTCGTGGTAACCTGCAACACTTTTTCCAAGCAATGACGTATGAGTTCACCTTTTGCTTCTATCTGCATCTGTAGTTTTGCTTTCCAAAGGCAATCAATCTCAACTAAACCCTATAGGAAAAAAAATCAGATGAACTATATGCTGCCTACAAGAAACATACTTTAAATATAAATGCACAAATGCCTTACAAGTAAAAGAATGGAAAAAGATATATTATTCTAAATCTAGTCAAAAGGAAGCTGAAGTGGCTATATTAATACCCAACAGTAGATTTTAGAGCAAAGGATATTGCCAAGGATGTAGTGGATTATTCATAACATCAAGAGATCAATACGTCAAGAGAATATAATCATCCAAAACATGTATGCAGCTAATAGCAAAGTTTAAAAATGAATTGAAAGTTGATGGAACTGTAAGCAGGAATAGGTAAATCAATACATTTTCTCAATAATTGATAGAACAAATGAAACCAGTAAGGATAAGGAAGTGTGGACACTCAAACAAATTAACCTAATTAAGTTTATAGAACATTTTATACAATAAGAGAAGAAAACACATTCTTTTCACGTGCATGTGTCACATTTACCAGAACAGACCATACTGTAGAACGTCAACAGATTAAAATGATTCAGATCATAGGAAATAGGTGCTCTGACTACAATGGAATTAAATTAGAAATCAATTACAGTAGTATTTTTGTAAGGTCCCCAAGTGTTTGGAAACTAGAGTATGTGTTTCTTGAACACATGGATTAAAGAATAAACCAAAGAGGAAATTAATAAGTATTTTGAACTGAATAAAAAGAAAACACATTAAAGTTTGTAAGATGCTGTTAAAGAAATATGCAGCTGGATTTTATAGCATTCAATGCTTGTACAAAGGTACTTCAAATATTTATGGAAAATGGAATTAAAAGATTATTTTAGTGCCAAAAAATTTGAAATCCATGCTTAATTTTATTTAAAAATGTATTTGTTTATTTGAGAGACAGAGGGAGAAGACAGAAAGTGAAAGACCTTTCATCTGCTGATTCACTCCCCAAACGCCAGCCATGGCTAGCACTGGGCCAGACCAAAGCTGGGAGTTGGAAACTCAATCCAGGTCTCTTAAGAGCTACTTGAGCCATCACTGTTGCTTCTCATGGTGTGCTTTAGCAGGAAGCTGGAATCGGGAGCACAGCTAGTACTTGAACTCAGGCATTAGTAAATAGAACACCGATGTCCCAGGCAGCATCTTAACTGCCAGATCAAATGCCATCCCCACCTCGTTGTTTTATAGTATGTTCTTTCCATGAACTTTTTGAAGACTTCTCTTGTTAGGAAGAAAGTCTTAACTCAATAACCTCATTTCACCTTAAAAAAAGAAAAAAAGAACAAAGCAGAAATAATGAAATTCAGTGAGACAGGAAACAGAAAAACAATAGACAAAATCAACGCAACCAAAAGCTGGTTCTTAGAATTTTTCCATTTTTTAATTGATATTCCTTGATAATGTCAATAAAATTTATAAATCTCAAGATAGACTGATTATAAAAAATGAGAGAAGACACAGATTACTAATTTTATGAATAAGTGGGGTGACATCACTACCGATTCAAAAACTATTATAGGATAATAAGGAAATATCATACATAACTTAGTGCCAGTAAATTGGCTTTAAATGGCCAAGTCTTTAAAAGATATAAATAGGGGCAGCGCTGTGGCGCGGTGGGTTAACACCCTGGCCTGAAGCACCAGCATCCCATATGGGTGCTGTTTCAAGTCCCAGCTGCTCCACTTCCAATCCAGCTCTCTGCTATGGCCTGGGAAAGCAGTAGAAGATGGCCCAGGTCCTTGGGTCCCTGCATCCATGTGGGAGACCCGGAGGAGGCTCCTGGCTCCTGCCTTCGGTTCGGCCCAGCCATTGTGGCCAAATGGGGAGTGGGCCATTGGATGGAAGACCTCTCTCTCTCTCTCTCTCTCTCTCTCTCTCTCCTCTCTCTGTGTAACTCTTTCTTTCTTTTTTCTTTTTCTTTTTTTTTTTTTTTTTTTGACAGGCAGAGTGGACAGTGAGAGAGAGACAGAGAGAAAGGTCTTCCTTTGCCATTGGTTCACCCTCCAATGGCTGCTGCGGCCGGCGCACCGCGCTGATCTGATGGCAGGAGCCAGGTACTTATCCTGGTCTCCCCTGAGGTGCAGGGCCCAAGGACTTGGGCCATCCTCCACTGCCCTCCTGGACCACAGCAGAGGGCTGGCCTGGAAGAGGGGCAACCGGGACAGAATCCGGCGCCCCGACCGGGACTAGAACCAGGTGTGCCGGCGCCGCAAGGCGGAGGATTAGCCTAGTGAGCCGCGGCGCTGGCCAAACTGACTTTCAAATAAATATTTTTTTAAAAAAAGATATAAACAACCAAAGATCATTCCTCAAAACAAAAAGATTACATGAAAAATCCCTATGATAACTAAAGAAGTTGAAGTTCTGGCATTTAATACTGCCTCATTCATTTTCTTTTTTTTTTTTTTTTTAAGATTTATTTATTTTAAAGTCAGAGTTACACAGAGAGAGGAGAGGCATAGAAAGAGAGCAAGAGGTCTTCCATCTGTTGGTTCACTCCCCAATTGGCCACAACGGCCGGAGCTGTGCCGATCCAAAGCCAGCAGCCAGGAGCTTCTT